AAAATCTGAATAGTTTTATATCACCAGTCTGTCTACTTTTTCGTTCTTTAATTTTAAGATTATAAAACCTTTATAAACGGCTGGACGGACATTTTTGAGATTTCATGTACACTCTGATCGTACAGCAACCGAGCAATAATATGGCGTGAGCCTCCACACATTTAAATTGCTCGATGGCCGGAGCGCACCATCCCACCTGCCCTTAATTCAACAACACATTTAAAGTGGCCGCCGGCGGGAGCATCTCCATCCTCCAGGTTATACCCGACGGTGACTGCATGGCGGCGCCACCCCCGGGGCAGCACGCCTCCGGCAGAGAAGGGGTGCTGCTCTGTTGGACAGATCCTCCATCTTTCACCGCCTTGACGTCGGGCCTATTGCAACCCATTGCCAGTATACCGAGACCTCGCCAGTCTTCAGCTACATCCATCATCAACCTGCGAAGTCAAGGTTAGCGTCTGCCTCCCGGGGAGGTAGACGCTAAGGTAAGGTAGACCCCGGAAGGTAGACAGGGTTGATTCCCGGGGAGCCGGCGGCTGAGCGGACAGAACACTGGACGCGTGATCCTGTGGTCCCGGGTTCGATCCCGGTCGCCGGCGAGAAACATTGGGGGGAGTTTCTTTCACCCTGATGCCCTTATTACCTAGCAGTAAATAGGTACCTGGGAGTTAGTCAGCTGGCACGGGCTGCTTCCTGGGGGTGGAGGCCTGGTCGAGGACCGGGCCGCGGGGACACTAAGCCCCGAAATCATCTCAAGATAACCACCGAGATAACCTCCTACCTCTACTACAGAAGACTGTAGACTCAATGTGAGCCTTTTATTTATTCATTTATTCATTTATATATTATATACAAGAAGGTACATTGGGTTTGTGAGAGTACATAACATTGTGTTTACATTCTTGTAAAGCCACTAGTACGCGCAGCGTTTTGGGCCCTTAATCTAACAGATAATATTAAGTAGATAAATTCTAGCAAAATTTATAAAATGTTAACAGGTATATTGTAAGAAAAAATTGAGAGAGATTAGTAGGTATATTAAAGCACATTGATAGTTCTGTTAATTCTGTACATCTTATGCTCACGTGAAGGAGAGGCGCCATTAACCAAGTTACTCTGCAATGCAACCCGTTCTCGCAAATTTAATAAGTCAATATTGACTTATTAGTTGCGTGCATAGGTGACATACTAAACATAATAGTTTCCCTTGAAAAGCTTCATAGAAAACACCGACCTTACCTAACCTACTTAGTATGTTAAAATAAGCATCTTATAGCTTCGTAATTACAATTGTTACTTAACCTATTATTGGTATAGGTTAGGTAATAATTGTAATTACGAAGCAATAAAATGCTTATCTTAACATACTAAGTAGGTTAGGTAAGGTCGGTGTTTTCTATGAAGCTTTTCAAGGGAAACTATTATGTTAGTATGTCACCTATGCACATATTTAATAAGTCAATATTGACTTATTAAATTTGCGAGAACGGGTTGTGCAACGGCACAGTGAGTAACGAACTCTACACGGTATTGAAGAGGACCTCGCAACGCTGACTACGTCGTCACTCAGCCAACTCCAGTTGAGATTCTTCGGTGTATTCAAAGATTCCAGTTCTCGTTTAATTGCAATTCATTGCACCTTAGATGTTCTGCAGTGTGTTCGTTGCTGCCTCAGGATTTGTGCAGCTGCATTGTTTAGGATCCCGGTAGTACGGTCGGGTTCGTTCTCGACGCACAATCGAGAATTTTGGGTTTGAATCCTGGGCTGAACAAAAATGATTGGGCACATTTCCTTTCACCCAATTCGTCTGTTCACCTAGTAGTAAGTAGGTACTCAGGCAACCCGTCCTCTTACAAACTACGTCGCTGTTCGCTCATATGCGCTACGGACAAATATCGACGTAATTCAAAATGGAAATGTATTTTTCAAATACATTTTTTATGTAATTTTCCCAAAGCAGGAAGTTAAAGGTCCTTGGGTAGGTTAGGAGGGCAGGAATTTCTCCTAAGGTTTCAAATTTTTTTGTTTTTTTGAGATATATACAAGAGTTGTTACATTCTTGTACAGCCACTAGTACGCGTAGCGTTTCGGGCAGGTCCCTGGAATACGATCCCCGCCGCGAAGATTCGTTTAACATCATGAAAACTGCTAATTGAAAGTTTCCTCTTTTAATGTAACCGAGTAAGCCGGAGGAGCCACGCTATTAGTAAGAGGACGGCTTGACTTGGGAGTTAGTGAGCGTGTTGAGAGGTCGCATCCTGGGCGGAGTCAGTAATTCGACATGGGGGGGGGGGACCTAAATAATAGCCTGACGTGTATGAATACACTCTGGCTTCCTGTCCCCCGACACAATGAATTAGTTTAATTACAATAAAAATTTACTTTATAATTACCATTCCTATGAATTTGTGTATTTTCATTGTTCTTAAGCATTTTTCATGTTTTTTTTTTAATATTCTTTCCTAGTGCTCTACTTCATCCATCTCTTCAAAACGTTCTTCACAATTAGATTGTTTTCTATGCAACTTGTTCTTTCAGGTGTGCCATTTTCATTTTTTGTTGTGCCCTCTTCTGATGTTTACAGTATTTCCTGGTTATTTCAGCGACGCCAACGACCTGAGGTCTCCCCTGCCGTGTTTACCTGAGCGTGTATGTGTGTTCTGATCTAGCTGTGTTGGTGGAGCCTCCCTGGCTGTCAACCTTTTGTCAAATCCGAGTAAGGATTGTACCTTCTCCACTTCACACTCATTTTCGTAATACTCAAGTGTTAACAATCCTGTGATTTATTATGTACATAATTTCCACCAGTGTCCCCTTGTTCGTTCCTCACACAACTAATACAGGAGGATCTAGATAGGCTTTCAAGATTGACGAAAGATTGGCATATGCAGTTTAATGCTGAAAAATGTAGGACTCTAAGTTAGGTGATAATAATAATTCCTAAATATCAGCTGAATAGTGTAGAAATTGTGAAGTCTGAATGCCAGAAAGATCTAGGAATCATGATTAACAAGGATAAAGATTTTTTTATTATTATTTTTCTACCACAGACGTGGCCACCATTTACAATACTAACCAGCAATGCAATTTTTGCATTGCTGGTTAACAGTAACAATGCAATGCATTTTCTTCTGTCCTCCATGGACAGGGTGAGGGATCTGTTAAACATATAGTCCAGGGATTTATTGAACATTCAACCACAGAAGGTGGTTGTAGTGCTTTTAAAATGCTAATCTAACCTACAGACATAAATACATAGATACACAGAGTTTCGTTTACCCTACATAAAGTGGTCGACGTGTCTTTTACATAGTGTCATTAATGCGCATTTACGAAGGTGAAGTGTAATTCTAACCAGCTTCCACATATACTTTATGTGGATACTTTATACACAATTGCTAAGGGATTAACATCACTTTGGCTTCCTGAGCCAGAAAATCATTACATAAATATAGTGAATAAGGAAAATAGAATGCTGGGATTTATATCTAAAAGAGTTAGCAACAAGGCATCCTTATTTTACATCTTAAATTCGCTAGTGTAGGCTGTTGATCACACTCCCCTGCATGACTAACCATAATGCGTGATGGGGGGACTTAAGTATCACACAGCTCTCCTCAAATCACGTAACCCTTCATATAGTCTAGGTCCTACGTCACGTCCTTCATATAGTCTAGGCCTACGTCACGTCCTTCATATAGTCTAGGTCCTACGTCACGTCCTTCATATAGTCTAGGTCCTACGTCACGTCCGTCATATAGTCTAGGTCCTACGTCACGTCCTTCATATAGTCTAGGTCCTACGATAACTGCATAAATGTGAATGTACATAAATATTTTAATAACAAAAGACGTTTGATATTTTCAGCTCTTATATTACCCTTGTTAGGCTCCGTTTGGATTATACAATTCAGTTTTGGTCTCTGTACTATATAATTGACATTTACATAAACGAGTACAGAGAACGATATCAAACTTATTACCAAGTATTAGAAACCTTCCTTACAAGGAAATATTATAAAAGCTAAATTCATATTCACAAGACAGAGATGGGTTTATAAAAGGTGAAATGATTGAAGTATATAAATGGATAAAAGGGTTTAGGAAAGGGGGGGGATACAAATGAGGTTTAAATATATCAATACAAAAGAACACGAAATAATGGGTATAAAAGTTTAGTCAGGTTTATTTACTTGTAAATACTGGCTTGGACATAATGTTTGTTGTTTTGCCTTATGGAAGCGATTATCGTGTAACACAATAGACGAGGGATCATTGATCGTTTCAAGAGTAGGTTAGACACATATATGAGTTCGTGTGGATATATATAAGAGCTGCCTCGTATGGGCCAACTGGCCTTCTGCAGCTTTCTATATTACTGTGTTCTTATTGTTTGCCTGGATGGCTCTTATTATTTTGTTTCGTATTGCGTACCCTGTCAGTTCTCCCAAGCAATTACATGTTAATTTGTGTCTTCCCGTTCTCCACTCCACTGTCGTTGATCATTTCATTTATTTATTATGCACCCCATACCTCACACTAAAACCAAAGTCATCCAGCAAGGTTACACTACAGTCACAGTTACCCAGTGAGGTTACACTACAGTCACAGTTACCAGTGAGGTTACACTCAATGTACAGTGACCATGCAAGGTCACCGTCACCTCCGCTACTGTTACCACACTGCACCTAAACACTGAATGAGAGTATCACTGTGATGTTAGACGTTCCAGGGAGTAAACTGCGACTGCGAGGAGGCTGATACAGTTCTGTGGAAGTTGTGTGGAAGCTCATGTAAGTCCGGTACAACCATGGCTTCCTATTTGCATGTCGGCGTTCGATCCCCGATGGTCAAACTTATTGTCCCCGTTCCTTCACTCCATCCTATTATCCTGTCCTTACACCCCTTCCAAGTGCTATATAGTCATACTGGCTTAGCGCTTTCTCCTGATAATTACTTTACCCCTCCCCCTCTATTCCAGGAGCGGTCGAAGTGGGAGATTACCTCCCAAAGGGGGCCCTGGAGCCTCTCTGTAGTAGTGAGGGGAAGGACGACCCCGGGACTCTGAAGTGAGGTGGCACGCCACCGGCGGCAGGGGCATTCTGCCTCTGGACGCCGCCGCCAGATTTGCCATCCCTCAACGAGCTGTTAGATCTGATTACTTCATTCCCAACAGTTATGAGGATCTCCGAGTCCTGTTCCTTCCGAGACGGGGATTCTGTTTCATTTTGTCCCTGGCCTGGGTGAAGGATCGTCTCCAGCCAGCGGAAATAGGATTGGTCTTGGAAGGCGTCTGGATCGTCCAACTCATTTTCGGGTTCCAGCAAGACGAATTCGTAGCAGGTGCCGCCGAAGCCGTCGTCAGCGAGGGCGCGGAACTCCTGGATGAAGGCGTCCTGAGGGAGGGACGGGTGGAGGCGGCTCAGCAGCAGAGGGTCTACCTTCACCGACGGTAGGAAATACTCGGGCTCTAGCTCTGGGTCTGGAAACGGTTTTCTCAGAGGTTGTGGTGCGAAGAGCGGGAGTGAGAGGTTGAGGTCGTGGACGTGGTTGTGCAAGTGGCCATGTATGAGGTCGTGAATGTGGTCATGCAAGTGGTCGTGGATGTCACGTAAGTGGTCATGGGCGTGGTCATGGTCATTCAAGTGGTCGTGGGCGTGGTCATGCAAGTGGTCGTGGATATCATGTAGGTGGTCGTGGGCGTGGTCATGCAAGTGGTCGTGGGCGTGGTTATGTACATGGTCGTGGATGTCATCTAAGTGACCTTTGGACATGTCGTGTTTGTGGTCGTTGGACACGTCGTACGTGTGGTCGTTGGACAGGTCGTGTGTCTGACTATTGGACAGGTCGTGTGTGTGGTCGTTGGACAGATCGTGTGTGTTGACGTTGGACAGGTCGTGTGTCTGACTATTGGACAGGTCGTGTGTGTGGTCGTTGGACAGGTCGTGTGTGTGGTCGTTGGACAGGTCGTGTGTGTGGTCGTTGGACAGGTCGTGTGTGTCACTCTTGGATAAGTCGTGTGTGTGGTCGTTGGACAGATCGTGTGTGTTGACGTTGGACAGGTCGTGTGTCTGACTATTGGACAGGTCGTGTGTCTGACTATTGGACAGGTCGTGTGTGTGGTCGTTGGACAGGTCGTGTGTGTGGTCGTTGGACAGGTCGTGTGTGTGGTCGTTGGACAGGTTGTGTGTGTGGCCGTTGGACAAGTCGTGTGTGTGGTCGTTGGACAGGTCGTGTGTGTGGTCGTTGGACAGGTCGTGTGTGTGGTCGTTGGACAGGTCGTGTGTGTGGACGTTGGACAGGTCGTGTGTGTGGTCGTTGGACGTGTGTGTGGTCGTTGGACAAGTCGTGTGTGTGGTGTTGGACAGGTCGTGTGTGTGGTCGTTGGACAGGTCGTGTGTGTCACTCTTGGACTCGTGTGTGTGGTCGTTGGACAGGTCGTGTGTGTGGTCGTTGGACAAGTCGTGTGTGTGGTTGTAGGACAGGTCGTGTGCGTGGTCATGAGAGTGGTCATGAAAATCATTCTTCAGCAGATCGACGAAGACGGAGGTGTCAACGTGATGGGAGTTTGCTGCGAGAAGGGCCTCTTGGATCCTCTGAAAGGTCCTCAGGAAGTGTTCTCTGGCCATGGCAACTTCGGGCGTGTCTTGCACGGGCTGCGGCGCCACACTGAACGGCACTGAGGTGTTCACCACGAACCTTGCTGATTTACCCAGCCTTGTCCTGTGTCTGTCTTCAGCGACTTTGAGAATGTCTGGGGACAATTCCTCTGGCGTTGGCACGTCATGAAGACTGGCTCGACGGTGGGTGTTGATGTAGCCTCTCGCCTTGTGGGTGTTGATGTGGCCTCTGGGTTGGTGGACATTGATGTGACCTCTCGCCTGGTGGGCGTTGATATGGCCTGTTGCGTGGTGGGCGTTGATGTGGCCTCTGGGCTGGTGGGCGTTGATGTGGCCTGTGTCCTGGTGGGCGTTGATGTGGCCTCTGGACTGGCGAGCGTTGATGTAGCTTCTGGGCCGGTGGGCGTTGATGTGGACCCTGGGCTGGTGGGCGTTGATGCGGCCTCTGGGCTGGTGGGCGTTGATGTGGCCTCTGGACTGGTGGGCGTTGATGCGGCCTCTGGGCTGGTGGGCGTTGATGTGGCCTCTGGACTGGCGAGCGTTGATGTAGCTTCTGGGCTGGTGGGCGTTGATGTGGACTCTGGGCTGGTGGGTGTTGATGTGGACTCTGGGCTGGTGGGCAGGGTTGGGATCGCACTGTATGGACATCATCCCAATTAGTAATACCTGCAAAAGTAAAAGGCACATCAGAAGACCTTTAGCGAGAGCTTACCAGATGAAGAGGCACAAGAAATGTAACTGTTTGAACTAACTCTTAAATATGAGTCCCAGTGTAACACCGTAAAGGTGTTTTGGTTAGTTTTATTTAATATATATATAGTACAGGTGTCAGCCAGACAGAATTTGAGAGGCTCCATTCTGTCGGACTGAAACTCACACCTCTAGAGTGTTAATGGCCACCAAGTGACCAAGGTCAGGTCATGTGAAGTTGACCTTGTTTCTGCTAAGCTTATAATTGTAGCCGGGTATCCGGGTGGGTCCTTCAAACAAGCAGCCAATTTAAGGTATGGCTTGGTAGAGTGCCTGGGGCTATCTACTTGTGGGCGGAGTTAGCTAGTTGATCCCCCAATAAATACCCAGGGTACTGTACACTCGAGAGCAAATGGAGAACAGCCCAGCAGAGCAGAGCAGAGCCTAAATTATTGGGATCGTCTCAAAGCCCTCCAAATGTACTCACTAGAAAGAAGACGAGAGAGATATCAAATAATATACACCTGGAAGATACTGGAGGGCAAGTACCAAATCTACACAGTAAAATAACAACGTACTGGAGTGAACGATATGGAAGAAAATGCAGAATAGAACCAGTGAAGAGCAGAGGTGCCATAGGCACAATCAGAGAACACTGTATAAACATCAGAGGTCCGCGGTTGTTCAACGTCCTCCCAGCGACTATAAGAAATATTGCCGGAACAACCGTGGACATCTTCAAGAGGAAACTAGATTTATTCCTCCAAGGAGTGCCGAACCAACCGGGCTGTGGTGGGTATGTGGGCCTGCGGGCCGCTCCAAGCAACAGCCTGGTGGACCAAACTCTCACAAGTCAAGCCTGGCCTCGGGCCGGGCTTGGGGAGTAGAAGAACTCCCAGAACCCCATCAACCAGGTATCAACCAGGACAGCATAGCCAGGCAGGCTGTCAGCCGGACGGGGGAACTGTCAACTGCAGACTCTTCCCCCCCCCCCCCTCTCTATCCAGTTATAGGCAGACACTTGGTGAGTTGAACATGAAAGGTGACTTATTTCGTGTACTAAGATGTTGTGTGATCTCTAGGGGCAGACAGCTGTAGTGACTCTCAAAGTTCTGTGTGGTGGCTCACATTGTTTATCTGGACATAATGAACCTTCAGTTCGATTGCTTGAATTCTGATATTTATCATGCTAAATAAATACTTGATTCACTTACTTTTTTACTTTAAGTTGATTTTAATTGTGTTTTCGAGATCTTGGAGTTTCTGATATAATAAGCAAACTAGAGTGTAGAGTACTCTTGAGTTACGGACTTAAAGAATCTTGCTTGGAACATGATTACAGTTGACACATGCTAATAACATCTTTTGATACAGACAAGTTCCAATCCTTGTCTTGTATGTACTGACTAGAATGGATGGTGGTAGCTATTTCTACTGCTACTTATCTACCCTTCTACCTCCTACTCCCTCTTCTCTCCCTCCGCCTCTCTCCCCCTTTCCCTTTCACCTGACTACCTCCTTACTCCTCCCACTTACTCCTCCCTCCTCTCTACCTCTCTCATCCCAAACCCTCACTCATTACTTCAGTATCCATTTCTTTCCTTTCGGTTCTCTTATATGTTTGTGGCAGTGAAATGTTCTAGAGTTCTCTAGAGTTGCGGGTAGCCGATCAGGTACAATGCCTTGTGGATGTAGCACCTAGGTAATCAAATACTTAGGTTACAAAGTGTTGAACTAGATTGGCTGCAGTAGGAACTCTGGGGGGACTCTAGAAGAGTTAACTAGGGGCGGGATAATGGACAAAAGAGAGCTACTACCCCCTGCGTTACACCAGAACTGTAGTCTAAGTGGGTTTTTAAGTACATTTAAACAATAATATTTCCGGCTTGATATTCATATTTATCATACCTCCTAGATCTTTCTCGCTTTCAGGTTTGGCAATATTAATATTGCCTTGATGTTGTCTGGCAATTCAAATATCATTACCTAGCCTCATAACCTGCCAGCATTAAAATGCCTCTGCCAATGTTTTGTCTATTGTTAAAGTCTGTTTGATATGTCTTGGAACGATTTTAGGTTATATGATTTTATTTCTTTCTGTATGAATTCAGAAGATTCAAAATCACTTCAAGACGACATAGATAGGCTTTTGAAATGGTCGAATGATTGGCAGATACAGTTCAGTTCGGACATGTGTAAGGTTCTAAGCTAGAGAATGATGACAGCGTTACAGGATATCAATTGGATGGTGTTGAAATTGTGAAGTATGACTGCAAAAAAGATACACCACTAAACCCGTGCTAGTGTTCCGTGACACCACTAAACCCGTGCTAGTGTTCCGTGACACCACTAAACCCGTGCTAGTGTTCCGTGACACCACTAAACCCGTGCTTGTTCCGTGACACCACTAAACCCGTGTTCCGTGACACCACTAAACCCGTGCTAGTGTTCCGTGCTAGTGTTCCGTGACACCACTAAACCCGTGCTAGTGTTCCTGGTGTAGTGTTCCGTGACACCACTAAACCCGACCTGGTGTTCCGTGACCACTAAACCCGACCTGGTGTTCCGGGACACCACTAAACCCGACCTGGTGTTCCGGGACACCACTAAACCCGACCTGGTGTTCCGTGACACCACTAAACCCGACCTGGTGTTCCGTGACACCACTAAACCCGACCTGGTGTTCCGTGACACCACTAAACCGACCTGGTGTTCCGTGACACCACTAAACCCGACCTGGTGTTCCGTGACACCACTAAACCCGTGCTAGTGTTCCGTGACACCACTAAACCCGTGCTAGTGTTCCGTGACACCACTAAACCCGACCTGGTGTTCCGTGACACCACTAAACCCGACCTGGTGTTCCGGGACACCACTAAACCCGACCTGGTGTTCCGGGACACCACTAAACCCGTGCTAGTGTTCCGTGACACCACTAAACCCGTGCTAGTGTTCCGTGACACCACTAAACCCGACCTGGTGTTCTGTGACACCACTAAACCCGTGCTAGTGTTCCGTGACACCACTAAACCCGTGCTAGTGTTCCGTGACACCACTAAACCCGTGCTAGTGTTCCGTGACACCACTAAACCCGTGCTAGTGTTCCGTGACACCACTAAACCCGTGCTAGTGTTCCGTGACACCACTAAACCCGTGCTAGTGTTCCGTGACACCACTAAACCCGTGCTAGTGTTCCGTGACACCACTAAACCCGTGCTAGTGTTCCGTGACACCACTAAACCCGTGCTGGTGTTCTGTGACACCACTAAACCCGTGCTAGTGTTCCGTGACACCACTAAACCCGTGCTAGTGTTCCGTGACACCACTAAACCCGTGCTAGTGTTCCGTGACACCACTAAACCCGTGCTGGTGTTCTGTGACACCACTAAACCCGTGCTAGTGTTCCGTGACATCACTAAACCCGAGCTGGTGTTCCGTGACACCACTAAACCCGAGCTGGTGTTCCGGGACATCAGTAACACTACCACAGATGCTGACATACAAGGTGTCTTCCTCATTTGCAGGGAGAGTAAGACCGTCAAGGCTGCCCGCCAGGTCTCCAGGCGTCCCTCACTCATCCCTCTAGGATGCTTGCCCGTTTAAAAAGTTATATCTTCATCTTTCAGCGATTTGTTCCAAATACTCACCAGTTATTTATTTATTTATTTATTTATATACAAGAAGGTACATTGGGATTGTGAGGCTACATAGCATAGTAATTACATTCTTGAAAAGCCACTAGTGACTTGCTTAAGCCTGTAGGCCTTATGCCCCTCACCTGAGTGCTTTGGCATTAGTGGCTCGACGATAATGTGACAACACAAAAAAAATTGTACTTCTTCTAACTTTGAAAATTAAATAAAAACTAAAGTTCTATTTACGTATAAATGAATAATATTCCAGGTGGGTGTCTAGGGCGGAAGATGTCCGTGAGTTGAAGAACGGAAGCGAGAGTTGCTCAGTGTTGCAACTCTCCTGTAATGATGTTGCTTAAACCTTGTTTGCCAGTTCAGGGTTGTTTTGTGTCGGTAGAGTTAAGTGGGTGTGGTGTAGGGCAGTGGGACTCCCCTGGGTGTGGTGTAGGGCAGTGGGACTCCCCTGGGTGTGGTGTAGGGCAGTGGGACTCCCCTGGGTGTGGTGTGGGGCAGTGGGACTCCCCTGGGTGTGGTGTAGGGCGGTGGGACTCCCCTGGGTGTGGTGTAGGGTGGAGGGACTCCCCTGGGTGTGGTGTAGGGCAGTGGGACTCCCCTGGGTGTGGTGTGGGGCGGTGGGACTCCCCTGGGGTGTGGTGTAGGGTGGTGGGACTCCCCTGGGTGTGGTGTAGGGCAGTGGGACTCCCCTGGGTGTGGTGTAGGGCAGTGGGACTCCCCTGGGTGTGGTGTGGGGCGGTGGGACTCCCCTGGGTGTGGTGTAGGGCAGTGGGACTCCCCTGGGTGTGGTGTAGGGCGGTGGGACTCCCCTGGGTGTGGTGTAGGGCGGTGGGACTCCCCTGGGTGTGGTGTAGGGCAGTGGGACTCCCCTGGGTGTGGTGTGGGGCGGTGGGACTCCCCTGGGTGTGGTGTAGGGCAGTGGGACTCCCCTGGGTGTGGTGTAGGGCAGTGGGACTCCCCTGGGTGTGGTGTAGGGCAGTGGGACTCCCCTGGGTGTGGTGTAGGGCAGTGGGACTCCCCTGGGTGTGGTGTAGGGCAGTGGGACTCCCCTGGGTGTGGTGTAGGGCGGTGGGACTCCCCTGGGTGTGGTGTGGGGCGGTGGGACTCCCCTGGGTGTGGTGTGGGGCGGTGGGACTCCCCTGGGTGTGGTGTAGGGTGGTGGGACTCCCCTGGGTGTGGTGTGGAGTAATGGGATTCTCCTGGGTGTGGTGTAGGGTGGTGGGACTCCCCTGGCTGTGGTGTGGAGTAATGGGACTCCCCTGGGTGTGGTGTAGGGCGGTGGGACTCCCCTGGGTGTGGTGTGGGGCGGTGGGACTCCCCTGGGTG